GGGGGAGGGGGGAGTGGGGTGGGGGGAGGGGGGTCCTCTCCCCCGAATGCGGTGTGATGTGATTTGATGTCGAGAGGGCTGAGAAGGATAGAATTGAAACGCCTTGGGGGAGTGTGTGTGTGTGTGTGTGTGTGTGTTGAGGAGGGGGAATGGGGCGGGAGATGCGGCGCAAAAGGTTACCAGAGCGGGTGGCCGTGCTGCTGCTGCTGCTGCTGTTGGTATTGGTGGTGGCGCCGGTGTTGTGATGTGGCCGAGCGGAAACAGACGAGATGTGCTTCCCATGTGTATGGAGTCGCTCGAAGCGGATTGGGGCCCGGAGGGACAAGGGCCGTCAGCCAAGCATATGCCGCTGGACATGCATGCGTGCGTGTGTGTATGTATGTATACGTGTGTGTATGTATGTATGTATGTATGTATTGGTGAGGGGCGCGCTTCCTCTTCCTCCGCTTCCCCCCTCCCCGGAGGTCTGTTGCCTCACCCCCTGTGAATGGGAGGGGAGGGGGGAGGAGGCAGGGGCAGGGGCCCCCAGGTTAGCAGCTGCAGCACTGGACTGATTACCAGCTGCTAGCCGCTGGTGGGACTGAATTAGGCGGCTGCGTGTTGCGGCTGAAGGCGGCTAGCTTAATGGCACGGAAAGGGTGCACAGTGCGGGCGTGTGTGTGGGGGGAAGAGAGAAAAAAGGGGTGTAGAAGGCTGCCCGTATCGGGGGAGGCGTGGGGTGGAAAGCTGTACGACGTGTCTAAGAGAATAGGAAGAAAGGTGTACCTGCCTCGGGTGACCGGCCTCGGGTGTTTTGCATGTGATTGGTCTGTCCGTCTGTCTGTCCGTCTGTCTGCACCGGAGAGCTCCCCTGCACGTATAGGCCATACGACGCGTCCGTGTCTGTCCATAGGATATATTCATACACTGGTTATAGATTCTCGTACATATGTACGGCGCATATACGTACGGGAGTGTGTTTTGCCAAGTCCAGTGCTCCCCGGGGGGGAAGGTGAAGGGGCGGGCGGACAACTGAATCACCTCCCCACCGCCTGGCGAAGTGTCGGGCCTTATGTACCGGTAGCGGTGCAAATACCATGTATGCTTGTACGTATGTGCGTATGTATGGTACTGCGAAGCCAGGCGCTATTGTAGAGCTTCACACCCTTTTGTGTGTGTGTATGTGTGTGTGTATGTGTGTGGCTACTACTAGCCTGCTGCCAGTCCCCCTACCACCTTCCCCGATGCTATCTTTCGGCCCATCACCTCATGCACCCTTCTCACCCTTCTCGTCACCCGCGTGTGCCCACTTCTGCGAAAGTGTGTGGCTTTTTCGGGTTCAGCACCCACCATCACCACCACTACCACCACCACCACATGACCAGCATCCAGTGGAATCTGCCCCCGGATCAACGGCGGCGACACAGCTCCACTCCACAGTCCTGGTCGGCTCGCAGGCGGATATCATTGTGATCACTGTAGCCGGGGGCTCCATCACCGTCACGAGGGGGTGCATCCACCCGCCTAGGGATGTTGACGGAATTGCATCCTGTTTCATGGTGCGATCGGTCCCGGAACCTTCCGGGGCCACTGTGTGCCGCGCCTCAGGATGTTTGCTATGCTTGGAGGCGTATTACTGTATGTATGTATGTATGATATCGTGGGTACCAGGGGATTGCGGTGTGGTGTTGCTTCCAGGTGGCGGTGGAAGGGGGGGTGAAGGAGTTGGGGCGTTGGGGCTCACTCAGGCGGCTCCCGAGCTGTTGCTGGGGCCGCGGCTGCCGTTCAGTAGAGTTAGGTAGTGTAGGTAGGTAGATAGGTAGGGTAGTGAAATTCACTGAACTGGGGCGGTGGATATGCTGTGGGGCTCTCATATCCAACTACGGCTACGCTGACTCGGACAATTGTGGGGCTTGGTAGGGTTTCCCGAACGAGGTGAACAACAATTCTACGGCCTACTGCCGCTGTGGGTCTTTCTGTTGGCGACATTGAAACGCGAATGGCCGGAATATATATAACGATATTTGGCAATTTTTTGCTTTTTCCTTCGCGAGGCTTGAGATCCTCTGTTCGGGGCCGAGCCTATGTGTGTGTCTGTGTGTGTATCTGTGTGTGTATCTGTGTGTGTATCTGTGTGTGTCTACGTCCCCTGGTACCAGTTATTGGCTGCAGCTCACTTAGGATGCGGGCGCGTGTGCGTGTGCGTGGGTCAAGACGTTATTGTCTGAGTCTGAGTTGATATTCATTTGAACCTCACTTCCGAAACCCCCCCTCCCCCGCGGCCCCACAGGCCATTGTTGTGAGGCGACCGTGTGAAAGGGGTCTATCCGGGGAGGGGTCGGGGGAAAGGGAGTGGTGGGGGTGGCCGGGCAGGGGTGGCCTTTTGAAGTCCTAGGGGCGGACTGGAGAGGGGGAAAGGGGGTGGGAAAAGCGGGAAGGAGGTGTAGATAGGAGGTAGGCACCGTGCGAACAAATGGCGCTCTATATAAATAACAATATGCTGCGGAGGCGGAGGCTCCCATGGGGGGGAGGCTCCAGAGCCACCGCAATAATGAATCGGGCCGGGCGAGGCGCTGGAGCCATGACGGGGTGTTGGCTGGGGGACAGACAGCGCGCCCCGCTGCCCCACCCGCTGCGGAGGTGTGCTAGCCATGCGACACATGTAGGCCGTCCTGGTTGCGTACGGCGAACATCATAGACGCAATGAAACTGGGCGTCGTACGAGTCGGCCAGTTCCTTCCGAGAGGGGCAATGCTTGTTGCAGCGGTGGTCTCAATTAGGGTCCATTCGGCGTGGGGGGTGGACGGGTGTGTGCACGGCCGCAGGGGGTGGTATGGTGCGCGGAGCTGAGGGTGCATGTAATGCTGTCCGCTGCAAGGTCACCGTCGCTGTCAGCTTCCGCCCGCCCCCTGTAAAGCGCGTTGTGCGGCGGTGTGATGTGAGAGCAACACAAGCAGCAGCAGTCGACAGCCTCTTTTCCTCGCCTCCGGCCTTTCCACCACTTGCCACCACACCACCACCAGTGAAACCCCCACCCCCCAATCAGCGAGCCGAGTAGCGGCTTACCAGCTGGCTTGCACCCGCTGGTATCCTGCTAGTCCGAGGGACCTCCACAGGGGTTCGGAGTAGACCCGAGGGGAGAGGGGTAAGGGGGCCTCTCGAGAAGCCCCTCGGTCACCGCTGCCATGTAGCTGGCCAGTAGCCGCCACGACTGACCACACCCGGCTACAGCACGCCAATTAATACGTACATAAGCGCAAGTGCAGTGCAGTGCACCACAACGGAGACTGTTGTTCATACCGAGCGTATTATTCCCTTCTAACGCACATTTCCTAGCTGTTGCGCTTCGACGTAAGGCAGGTATAGTCCTTACACGTTCTACACAAGCTCCCCACGCCCCTTCTAGCGGCACACGCTGCTGCCGCTGCTCCTTATCCCGGAACACCAGCCGTTCCACCTCTCAGCCCTCCTGCTCCGAGACCGACCTCCGCGCCACAACGCATCAAAACAGGCTAGGACACCCCGCTGGGGCTACCCCACCCCCCACCCACTCCCCACCGCAGCCACCCCCAACCCCATCTCCACCACGGCCACGACCACCACCACCACCACCACCACCACCACCACGACACACACAACCCAATCATCCAGCCGCATAGCTCCCTCCAGCTGCCATGCAAAGTCCACGACTAGTACTAATACTATTACTCCGTCACCACCATCCCCGCCGGCGATGACGCCTCCACGGCGCCCTCCTCCTCCTCCCCCTCCTCCTCCTCCTCCTCCACCGCCGCGGCACCCAGTATCCCGCCGGTGGCCTTCATCGTCTCCAACTCGCCGACACGTCCCTCAGCCCCCTATACAGGTCCCGTCGGGGCCCCTGCTGCCGCCTGAGCTGCCACCTCCACCCCCACCCCCACCTCCACCTCCGCCTCCGCCTCCGCCTCCGCCCGCCCGCCCTGGGGCAGCAGCTGCCGCGTGAGGAAGCTCACCGTGGCCTCCAGCACCGACACCAAGTGCTCCCCCAGGTAGATGTCAAAGTGGGTGCAATCCAACTCCACGAGCTCAGCCCCGCTGCCACTGCCGCTACCTCTGCCAACACTGCTGTTGCTGTTGCTACTGCCGGCGCCTACCGGCAGTAGCGCCGCCGCCCTGCGGACTAGCTCCGGCGGGCACAGCTGGTCTCGGAGCGCGGAGATGAAGAGTACGGGCGCCGTAATCCGTGGTACGGACTTTATGGGGCTGTAAGACGAGGTCTCCAGGGCAAAGCGAGCCAGTACGACTGGCCGCCAGCCGCCCTGATGCCCCCGAGGAGGAAAGGGTGTGTGTGTACGGGAGGAATCAGATGTCAGTGTACTGCAGTAGCCCGGCAGGGTCAGTGGAACACAGCTATAGGCTCGGTCCGAGCTATACGCTAGCAGCGACTTGTAACGCACATACGCACATACACGCACACACGTACGTCCCTGCTGCCCCCCTTCCTCCTCCCACACAACACCTCTCGGCTCTCCCCGTCCTCCGGTTCATTCTCTCCCCCCCTCCCTCC